GTGTCTTCCCTGGTGAACTTGATGTTTTTATCCACAGGATAGGAGAAATATAAATCTACAGGATGAGCAACTAATCTCAGTGTGACAAACATTTTATTCTATTTTATATGTTTTAGATTCAGCGTTTTAAAATTACAACGTTGGTAATGAGGTAATCTTTTTCAGATGTCCACATTTATATAGCCTGCAAAACAACAAACAAACAAAGACAAACAACAAGTTAAAGTATCATGGATGTGCTTTTTTTAGTTCATCTTCACAATATTTTCGTTTCAGCTCCAGCAGCTACAACGTACCCACGACATTTGCTGCCAAGTCATTAAGTACCATTTAGTTGGGTCCTTCAATTTTCTGGTTCTCTTTTCCAAAGTTGTTACGAATTCTCTTTCAAGCCTTTGCTTGACCTCGTGATGCTTTGAATTTTAAATTAAGCAGTCAAGATGTGATGGAAGTGCAGACTTTCTGTTTTAATTTAAGGGGTTTAACAAAAGTTTTTCAATAAATGCTTAGGAATTAGAGCCATTTTATACATTTATATCACACATTTAGATGATCAAAAGTAACTGGGCGGACATCATTTTATATCATTTCAAAGAAAATCCTTTGCTGTCAATGAATGTCCAGTCTTGAACAAATGGACATCAGTAATTTCTGTGTTTCCTCTATGGAGATGCTTTGCAGGCCTTTACTGCACCCACCTTCAGATGCTGCTTGCTTGTGGGTTTCTGCATTTAGTTTTACTTTTAATAATTGAAAAACATGCTCTGATGTACTGAAATCAGGTGACTGATTAGGACACCAAGGAATATATCATGTCTTTGCCTTAAGAAACTCTTGGGTTTCTTGGGAAACTCTTGTTAAGGGTTATCCATTTGCACTGTGAAGCACTATCTGACTAGTTTTGCAGCATTTGGCTGAATCTGAGCAGAGAGTATATCGCTGTACACTTCACTGTTCATCCTGCTGCTTTTATCAGCAATTACATGATCTATAAACACTAGTGACTCGATTCCACTAGCATCCATAACAGTGCCTCTACTGTGTTTGACAGATGTTACAGTATGCTTCAGGTCATAAACCGTTTCTCTCCATCTCTGTGCTTTTCTTCTCCCATCGCTCTGTTAACAGTTAATCTTGATTTCATCTGTCCAAAGAATTGTTTTTCTTTTTTCGGTGCACGGCTTCCTGTTCCTGAATGTAACCGGTGGTTTTCCTGACTTGTTAGTTGTTGATGCTTAATTTGTACTTCCTGTACTTCTGTCTGCATACAGGAAGTGCTGACTCACATCTTGACATGTGTGTCTTAGAGATTTCAGCAGAAATAAAAACAATGTTTGAATATATGTTGATACCAGAAAGGTCAGGAAGAAAGAGTGGGTGATGTAGAAGACTAATTTTGGCAAGCAGTAGTCGTCTCTCTATTCACTCTGCTGCCACTTGCCCAAAATATCAGCTTTGGGCTGAAAAAGTAGTTCACGAAGTGGTGACTGGCCCAAATAGGAGCAATCAATGCTTGACCAAGTACTTTCATTTCATTATGCTTTTTCCCTTCCTAAGTCATGTACCTCTTCATTTTTCTTCAAACTGTCATTTTTAACTCTTGGCCACATTGCTACTGATTAAAAATCTGAAAAAAGTTGGTCCTTGATGCTCCTCTACTGTTAAATATCTGACATCATTAAGGGTTTTTTTGTGACAGCCCAGTGAGATAAATGCTTTGATTTAATACAACCACCTGAGAGTAAGTTTTAAAGTCATGTTTAAGACTTGATATCTATCCACACAGACTTGATTTGATTTGCTTGTTTTTTTTCTGACTTAGTTTTCTTCCTCTACACACTTTAAATGCTAATTTAACCCCACTGAAACTATACCATGCTTTGGAGTTAAAGAGGCGTTACCTAATACCAGGAATACATATTTAGGAATAGAGCCTCTGTGTGAATCACAGGCCACGGTGAGATTGACTGAGAGGTCACTCTAAATAAGGTCATTTTGAAGTTACCAGAGGACTCCTATCGAGTTGGATGCTTTATGTAAACATCATACCACTGTTTCATGATAGCACTGTCACAGAAACATTTCATCTCTTAAAGTGTGGGAGACCTAGAAGTGATGTAATCACTGGTGGGATGTAGGTTTTTGGGCACTTCCTGTAAGCTGTTGGAGATTTGAGGGACAGTCATGTTCTTTCAGCAACCACTTTTTCTCGGATAAAATGCTTTAAATATCACACAGAAATGAGTCTAACAAAAGTAAAACAAAGAAGCACGTCCCAAATATTTCCCTCTTCTGTAGCGACCTTTAACAAGTCATTGCCTTGTTTGTCCTACCCGGCAACCTTCCAGCAGTGACGCTCGGACCGTCTAGCTTGCTGATAGGCTACTTTTAATCTTACTGGGGATGGGCCGATTGTTAAATCACGAATCAATACTTTGATACTTGAGTGCTCGCCATTAGCTGCGTGTAAGTACTGGCTGCAGTATTTTGGAGTATAGTTACTTGATTTTTGTTTATTGTGTTTCTTTTTTTTCTTTGTATTGTCTCGTTATCGTTCACTTGTCATTCATTATTTTCTGTTTGTTTACGGCACTAATTCTAAATGTTAATTAATACTGATGCAGCCGAAGATGCATAACATAATTGTCCCTCTTCCACTTTCTGTCTCCCCCCCTCTCTCTTCTTCATGGTCGACTTTTGAAATAAATTGTCTGTGCCTGAATGCTTGAGCTTTGCTGAGCTTTCCTGTTAGCAATGTGGTGTTTGATTTTCCAGCTGAGAGCCTGGTAGTGTCTGCGAGAGCTACTGTGGGAGAGCGTGCGCGACAAAATGAATGGGAGGCAAGTTCAAATGAGGCTTTGTGTCTGAATCCAATTGTGTGTGTTTGAGAGGAAGAGTATTAGCCTTGTGTTTGTGAGCATGTATGTGCAATAAGCGCTGTTACCCTGATACTCTTCCCTCCTTCTCCACAGAGAGAAGTGCCTTCATTCGCTGACCCCTGTGGCTGTTTGGCTCCGCTGAAGCCGCGTGTGCCTCTGCGCCTGTCCATGTCTGCTGGAGCTGCCAGCCACACCACGAGCACCAGGACTGCCATGATTGCCAGCCTCGTCCGCTGAGGCTGTCTCCACATTACTGACACCTCCCTCCTCCCCTCCATCTCTTCCTCTGTCTGCCAGCCAGACCTCTCTCCACCCATGCTACTCAGCCCTCCTCTGTGGAAGTCAAACACGCCACCTTTCTCCGCAGACAGAGGCCGATACTGAAGACACAGCGTTTTTATCGGCTCGTTTTAGCAGAAGAAGATTGTCTCTTTGCTCTCCCCTCCACCGGCCCCTCTCCCCCTCCTCCTCCTCTCCTGCTTTCTTCTCTCCTCCAGCCATGCATCTTTTCATCATGGGCCAACTCGATCGATAATGTGTTTTGCCATTCATCTCACCTGACAGTTCAGCTGAGGAGCAAGCAAGGCACAGGGAGAACTGGTGTGCATGGTGTGGGTGTTTGAAAGAGAGCGATTACAAAGCAGGTCTCTCTGGCCGTCAGCAGCCTAAGCCCTGGGTGACAGGTGCTGAAGGAGCCCCAAACAAACTCTTAGGATGGGCCACAGGTGGTAGACGACAGCAAGGCCTCTTAGGCTTAAATTCAGAGTCAAACCCTGGGGAGAAAACCTGTAAAGTCTGCCTTTTTCCCATGTCCTTTATCTGTACTTTCTCATCATTTTCCTCAGTGTTATTAGAAACATACAGAAATAGACATAACTGCATTTGCTGGATATCTATTACTCTTAATCGACCCCTCCTTCCTGGTTTAAAATGGCGGTGAATGTGACACCGATCCGGGACACAAAGTGGCTGACACTGGAGGTTTGTCGGGAATTCCAGAGAGGAACTTGTTCACGACCAGACAGTGAGTGCAAGTTCGCCCACCCCGCCAAGAGCTGTCAAGTGGAAAATGGCAGAGTCATTGCCTGTTTTGACTCTCTCAAGGTGAGTATGACAAACACCTGTGATGTTCAATCAGCACTGCCCTGTTTTTTTGTTTTTGTGGAGTTTTTATTTTTATTTTTGAGCTTATGCTGCTGACAAGGGTGGTCTGAGAATTGATCAGTTTGTTTAACTCGACTACAAAATAGGCAAAATATTATTTTATTGCTGTGCTTCTTATGACTACATTTGGTTATACTTTGGCAATAGAATGCATATAGATCTGTATAAATACTTTTAAAAGTATGTTTGTGTGTCAGGGTAAGCTGAGATGAGGCCATAATCGCATTAACATCTGTGAATCAGACTCAAAGTTTCCTTTGCAGGCACATAACTCTGGTGCAGGACTGTTGGTTGGCACAAAGTTGCAAAGGATTTTGTGTGATCGTCACATCAACGGGCTGCATGGGAAATAGAGAAGTAGGACAGAATACTGTGTAATTCACGTTTGTATGTAAGTCTGTGGGTATATGTCTGTGTGTGTTATTTTGAGGTCATGCAGCACAGTGGGGTGTTCTCAGAAGGCTCTGTAATTTACTGTCTATTTTTGCCCTGGCACTGAGACAACACACTCCCACTATGCAACTCCTCTCTCCGAGACAGGGGAAGAAAAATCAAACGGCAGAGTGGATGGAAAGAGGGAGGAAAATGGACTGAGCTGAGATGTTGTGAAGAAAACACAAATACATATATTAAGGTATAATAAATGGGGCGAGAATTATTTATCCAATGCTTAAAAGAGATTAAAACGCCCTAGGCGCGAGTAAAGTTTTGATTAAAACTTCCAGAAGAAATGACACAGATATTTATGTCGCAGTGTAGCTTGTCACCAAATCTGTTTATAGGCTTTCAAAAAAATTTACTTAATACATTTTGCAATAAGCTTAACTGCTTTTGTTGTCAGTGTAAGTGGTACGAAAGGTGGACAGAGGACAAAGGTTTGATTTTGGCGACTGGAGACATTGGAGAGGTTTTGCATCTTGACTCATGAGTGTTAGCTCACGGCAGCTAACCACTGTGGTTGGAGAGTTTTCTGATTTTGAGCCAGTTTTGAGCAGAACTGAATCTAGAGCCATGCTAAGATTAGTGATAATGTTTAATGTGTCTGCTTTACAGCTGCCCCCATCGTTGTTTGGCATGTTAGCATACAAATGTTTGCCAGCTAAACACAAAGTATAGCTGAGACTGATGGGAATGTTAATACTTTTACAAATAGAACAAAATCAGTCTAAACAATGTTCAGTCCAAACTAGAAACATCTGCTTCTTGGTGATTCTGGAGGAAATCACCAAGAAGACACAAAACTTACCCTACCACCATAATGTTAGCATAGTTAAAGAATAAACACCTCGTTTTGACATTATACTCTGTATATTGAAATGCAGATACTCTAGGGGAACAAATGCCAACATAAACATTTTGATATCTCAGATGTTATTAATTTGATAAGGAGATGCTGACGTAATTTAATTCAGGCGTTTTTCTTTTGAGATAAAACACAATTTTAAGGAGTTAGATGTGAACTTAGTTAAAGAAAAAGAAGAGAAAATAAGACAGTCAAGGAGGTAAATTTTGATAACACACATATGTAGGTGGAACAGCAGTGCAGTGATTAGCACCGTCTCAAAGCAAGAACGTCCTGGGTTTGGTTCTGCCGGTTTGCTGGGTTCTTCCTCTTGCAGTCAAAAACCACGTTAGGTTAAATATGATTCTAAGTGTGACTGTGAGATCGAATGATTGTTTCTATCCACCCTCTACCCCAATGACAGCTGGGATAGGAATTCGATTGGTTAAGAAAATTGGATGGATGTATTCTTAAATTTGATTCTGCAAAATGTTATAAACACTCATACACATCGAATATGCAGTTCATTTTTTATTTGATCAACATTAACGAGATTGTGTGTAAAGGCTGTCCAGTGGCTGAGAGCCAAACATGATGGCCGAGAGGTTGTTTTGCATCGAAAGATCATAAAAGTGAACGTACACGGGATAAACACAAGACAAATGTACAACATGCACACACATGCCTCTAACTGCATTCTCATTACTTCATATGTTTTATATGTGTTGAATGCAGAGATATCGGTGAGGTAAATCTCTATATTTTGGCTCCAATGGGCACAATCGTTCTGGATCCTAGAGCTCTGTGTACTCTCTTGTGCACGTCTTGTAATTTGTCCCCTATCTGATTGGCAAGCAGGGTGTTATTCTGTGTAACTGGAGACTTGAGCTGAGAGTCAGTCAAGCAGTGCAGGCCTTGGTTTATACCTGGGGATGGATTTCTTGTTAAGCCAGGCACTGTGTTATTACAGTTATGGGCTGTTTGGTTGAAGCTAAGGTGGCTTGTGTGGGTTTAGTTGGTACAGGTAAGACAGGAATGGATAAGGGGGGCAGCTGGGGCCTTGCATGGATCATGAGAACAGACAGACAGACAGAGCTGGAGAGGGCAAGAGCAGGCGCAGCAGGGAATGCGCAAGGAAGCATAGCACTATGCGCACAGCCCTTCCCTGCTCTCAGTGCCAGGGCATTCCACAGTCTACCTCCCTTCCCTGCCTTCATGACAGAATGATAGATCTGCTTTATCTGCAGATGAATTCATAATACATAGCCAGGCATGGAGAAGGGGCAAGGGGATAAGGGAAGGACAGGCAGGAGAATGTGGATAGAAAAATAGGAGTAAAGGGATGGATGGTGCTAAACGTGGCTTCCCACCCCTGGATAATTTTTCACACCACCCGCCCTTCGGTGCTTTTACAATGCAGGCTAGCAAAGGAAAGGAGGACTTGTAGCAGGAGAAATAGAAAGACGCATGGATAGCTTCCTTAATTTTATCTTCTTTATGTATTGAATCAAGTCTTTCTCAGATTCAGTAAATGCACATTTTATTTTCACATCACAGCCTTGTGAATTCTTACCAGTTGGTCTCTTATGATAATACCTTTATTTATACCTAAACTTCATTCAGCCATTAGGCAATGTCACAAAAATAGGTTTTTGTCAGTGGTGAATATGGTGTAAAGTTCCATTTACGGGGCGTATAACAGAGGATGGACTGATAAAAGCAGACAGGAAATGAGGCAGAGGCTCTTTAGGATTGGCCGATATTACAGTGAGACTGACCCTCATGGCCTGGACTCACGTAACTCAAGTAACAAAGAATACGATGTTTACAAAGACATGAGGTATCTGTCTGGGTACACAGCACAACTTCAAAATGATTTTATTTAGTTTTAATTTACTATTGGAAGAAGTAATGATAATGTAATGCATTGCTTCTTTACCAGTCTTCAAATGTTTTCAGCCATCATTCTATTTAGAGGTCGTCTACGATAATAAATCAAACAGCATCTACCACTTTGTTCAAATACTCAAAACTCTTCTCTAATAGGTCATTTTTTTCAAGTTTTTCAAATGAACCAGACATGTCTACAACCTGAGTTCTCATTTTTAACAGTGAGTTTCTGTGAGTTGGTGTTCACTTTTGACTTTGCGTGCAGTTGTGTCGTATTGAAAAATTTCTCCGTTCAGCCTGCCAAGCACAGAAGTAGCTTGATGCCATGTCCTGGTGCAGAAATTCCCCTTTAGATGTCATGGCATTGGAGTGACCTTGTATAGTCTCTAAAATGATTTACATTTAAACAGAAAGAGATGCCAGATCAGGATGTACTCACGTGTGCTAAAGAGTCCGTTTCAGAAGATTTGAACAAACAATGTATTTTTGTAACTGTTTGAGAGAATGGAAAAGAGTGGGATATGCTCTTTCTTTTGTCTCCTGCTGAAGGAATTCAACAGCTTGTTGCTATTAACAGCTGGACAGAAAGCTGGTTTCACTGCAAGTGAATAAAAAGCAAATCTGGGGGCATTTAAGCTGCCGAAATACAATAAACTTACCATTGGACTGTGATGGGAAATAGGTGAGAGTGAGCCAAAAAATCCAAAGGGGTTCTGACTGGCTACTGATGACTGTGCTAAAATTATCTGACAGCGAGTTGACTTCCTCAGCAATTTCTTCTCATTAAAACTTCTGTTTTTTAATTGGCCATTGGTATTTATTTTAAAATATTAAACTTGATTCCACTATAAATGTAGTAAATTGGCTTTTTTCTGTAAGAAGTTAAGAACCCTTTAAAGCTTGTGTGTGTTGAATAGCTACTTTCAAAGTTACTAAATGATACATTGTTGAAAATGTGTTCTATTCTTAAAAATACATTATTTTAACAGGAAACGTGAGGAAGCTTAGTTTTGCTCTTTGGGGAGCGGGAGTTTTTATAATCACAATTTCACTACAAAGATTTTTTTCATCTTGTACGGAATATATTGTTATTCCATATTTACATGAATTCTAACAAGCCCGCTGAGGATGATCAAATTATTTGTTTCAAAGAAAACAACATTACACACACACACAAAAACTTCAAAGTCCTCACAGACATATATTAGTAGTTTTTAAAGGAAATTCTGTGATGAGAAGGGAGCATTAAATGTTGTATAAGTAATGCATTTTCTCTGCCCTTCTCTTATTTATGCTGGTGGAACTTGAGGTTTGGCAGAAAAAAATGTTACATGAAAGATTATGAAGAGAAAAAGTTATATTTAGTTTGAGTGTATTTGTAATTGTTCCTCACCTTTTCACTGAGTAAACTGCAAGGGCATTGTGTCCTGAATCTGCAGCCTTTCTTTGCCATGTGGTGAATAAATGTGAAAAACAGCATAGTGCGTGCTGTCAAGTTGTTCTCTCTTTCTTGCACAATTTAATATTTTTCTTTTTATTATTAATAGTTTTTGTTGAGTAAACATGCTTGCATGTTACACTAAGCTACAAGTATTTTGGTGGCCTACATTCAAGTTGGTCGAACGTATGGTGTAAATATAGTATATCACAATTTTAACAGTCTGTCAGCAATTTTGTTCTGATGTAATGTTGAATAATGGGCTGTTAGAGGATTTATGGTAATTAACCAATCAGGCAGCAGGGATTTCAATTCTGACTCTTTGTACAA